ACATATTCCTTTAATATCCACTGAATCACAGTACAGAAAGAAACAATTCAATTATGCTACATAACTCAAGTCAGAAAATAAGCACTGCTGTTGTTGGCCCCTTCTCCCTCCCTCCCCCCACCCCTCCCTCTAACATGATCTTTTTTTTTTTTTCAATAAGTGCATCTGAGCACACGTCTTCAAACAGCAGGAAATAACAGGGATCTCACAAGGAAGGCAAAGCCCTGGATTCCTGTCAAAATTGCAAAGATACAAGACATCCCTAGAGTTGGACGTCAGTAACAGCTAGATTCTAGTAAGACCTGATTTTAAACTGTGTTAAGATGTAAAAACATACGCAGAACTACAATAACACAGCAACAGTATCAGTATTCCCCTGTTACAGACGGACTGTTAAACATTTTGTTTACACTTTCTTTTTTTCTGTCATAGTTTGTAAATTAGGCAACATGAAAATTAGTTATCCCATTCCTCTGTGCCCCTCTGCCCTCACAGATGTCGATCAGGTTTTCGATATCTTTTGTAACAAAACACACCAGTATGAACGTCTTTTGCTCATTCAAAAACAAGAGGTAGTAAAAAAAAAAAAAAAAGAAAAAAAGGCAATCCAAAGTGGCAGGCAATGGTAAAACCTTTGGTTAGAAAAAGGCACTTGCTGTACGAACAAACCGAAACAACTTTCCACCATTTCTTCCCGTTCTCTGGTCCAAATCTCTCCACATTTCAGGCCATATGCATTTCTCTGCTAACGCAGGGAGCCTTTCAACCTCAAACACATTCTTCATCCCTAAATTAAACGTGGCAATCTTCATCAAACACTAAGTGACCCACTTCATCTTGTTTAATCACATAAAAAAAAACAGCTCTCTATCCAAAGTTCTTCACAATTTTGTTCCATGTTGGCATGTCTGATGTTTATTTTTTTCCCCTCACGTACTTAAAGCATAAACTGTGTCCATGTTAGTCTTTTGTCGCATTTTTGAAGGTTTCTGTGGTCTTTTTTTTTTTTTCCTGGAAGGTTGAGGTGGTTGTAGAGAGATTGCGTCGCGCTGAGTCTCTTTTTTCCGGAACCATCTTTACGAGCTGTTAGTCTTTTACAAGTCTGTAGACATGATACTGCGCTCCATGTTCACTATTGGAAACCTCAAAAACAAACGCTATACAGAGCAGGGTCTCCTGGGTGTCACGGTTCGTCACCACCTGACAGGGTTCAAATATGGATATTAAAAACATGTTTTTTTTTAGTTAAAATTTGTAGGGGTTATTTAAAATAAAGTGCATTTTACCTGTAGGATAGTGAAGTTTTCAAGAACGCTATTCATCATGTACTTTTCAGGTAAGTGTTTGAGTTTGTGGATAAAGTTGATCATGTATTCACACATAGGAGAGCGGTGGATCCTGTAAACATACTTCCCTCCCTCCATGCGGGCGTACTCTGTCTGTAACATTTACCAGAGCGAGAAAAAAAGAAAAATAGTGTATGAGACTGTATCAAACATATCTGTTAAAACAAGTTTCAAAAGCACCTTCTTACCTCAACTTTCTCTACCACCTGTTTGCCGAATGAGCACACTTTAGTTGAAACTGTAATAGTCATGTTCTCCATGCTGCTGTACTGGCTGCTTACACCGTAGAATGAACCCGGCTCATCCAGCATCCCGCCGCTGTTCAGGTCAGCCTGGAGAGAGCGAAAAAATGTCAGCCTGATGATCTGATTCAAAGCGTGACAAAAGCACTCATTGAACAGTTCGATTAAACAGGCATCAATGTGTTGGGAAAAAAAAATACATTGCCTGCAACTAAATTATGCATTAAACCAATTACAAGTAGAAGAAATTACAGAGTATATTGGAAAACCCATCTAAGGAAAAATATGCCATATAGTGCTGCAATCATGAAGG